AGAACTGAATCAAATGGAAGAAAAGCCCCCAGGGTTAGCACTGTGCCAGCTATAGAAGTCAGTCACAAGTGAAAAGCTCTTCAGTTGGTATGCCAATGCAGCCAGCAGTCACTTCAAATCCTAGCAACTTTATTCTAGATTGCAGTTACTTTTGTATTTGGTTCTTTTTTTTTTCCTGTGTCTTCTCTCTACCAGTGCATAGAAGTTTTTAAAATAGAGTTTAAAACACTGAGTTTTATTTTAATACATCTGAAGCTTTAGTTGTTTTTAGATGCTTAACGGATGAAGCTGTTTAGTCTCCATGTGGGTTCTAGTTTATATAAAACACACATTGTATGTCCTGTTCATGTCTGCATTATTCCCACTCGCTATTCTCTTTCTGCACCACACATATATGCCCATTCTTCAACTATGTGCCAGCCAGAAATGTGAACAAATAGATATCAAGCTCTTAGCATGTGGTGCATGTTGGGAGGAAAGGAATCACTATGCAAGCAGGGAAGTCAAAACTGTTTGCTTGTATCCCACAGCAACTCTGAGAGATTAAATCAAAGATCAGTGAGGTTTTGGAGGGCTCCTTATTAGCTTAACATACTTTCCACCTCCCTTTCTCTCTCTCTCAGAATTAAAACTATTTTTTATTGCAATGATTAAAATACTGATGAAAATCAAGATTGGAACACTCCACTTCAGTGCTTAAAATGCTTTCCTGTTGTTCAGCATAAGGCTATCACTTGGGGTAATACGCTTCATGCTGAGGTTGTTTAACCAATTTGTTAATGAGTTTTTTTTTTTCTTTTCTGAAGCTCTGCTTTATTCTACAAGCAGTTTATGCTGCCATTAGGAACAACACATTTCTGAGTTGTGGTTGAATGAGCACCAGACAATTGTGTGAATGTAATGTTGGCCCATGCTTCTCAAATACTAATAGGTTCTTGGTGCAAGTAGGCAATGGTAATGTTTCAGTTACCTATGGGAGAAGAAGGCATGGTCTCTCTCTCTCTCTCTTTTTCTTCCTTTAAAGACCAAGGAATAATTCCAAACAGTTATTTTGCAATTAATAGTTAACCTTTCTACATAAAATATTTCAGAAGGCTCTGCAGAGCACACAAAAAGAGGCACCACTTTATAATATGCTTCAATAATTTATCATTTCTTGACAAGGGCTTGAAAAGGGTCCAGCGTGTAAGTACAAATCACCAATTTGCTCTTCTGTAAATGACTTCTTTTAAGAAGAAAATGGATGTGCCTCCAAGTGGAGCATGCAGTTTCTCATTTTTTTTGTAATGTGTGTGGAACTGGCAGGTTACTGTGTCCCTTCATTCACTGAAATTGCTTTTCAAAGTAGCTAATTTTGTTTGTGTGGGTTTTTGGTTTTGTTTTGTATTATTTTTCCCCCCCCCCCCCCCCAAATCTGTAACATTTCATGAAGCTTTTATTTTTTTATTGTATTTAACTGAAGCTCCATTTTGGTAATTGCATATATAAAATTCTGTAATTGCAGTCCGGTTTCTCTACAGACTTGGCCCTGGATTAACTTTTAATCATGGTCCACTACATCTGAAATGTCACCAGGACAAATGACTTGTAATCATGCAAGTTGTCTGACATCAAAGTGGCACTTGGCTGATACTCTGCACGTCTTAACATTTTCTTATATACTCTAGAACTGGAAATGAATAAAACAGGCAGCATTTTTTCCAAAGTACTGAAAAACTATCATCTTCAAATGGTAGAGGAGAGAAATGGATAAGCATTTGTGTGTGTGTGTGGGTGTGTGTGAGAGAGAGAGAGAGAGAGAGAGAGATGGTTATGATGTTCAAACAGACATTCAATTTGATTGGCGTTTTTTTTTTAAATAAGTGCTTTTTCAGAGTAACCCTTACAGAAGCGTCCAGAAGTAAGTGGGAATGGGATGCCTGCCTCCTTTAGTCACTTCTGAAATATTTCATCTCCTTTGCCTCCCTCTTCATAATCAGATAGCTATTGGTGAACATCGTCCTGGTCTTTGACCAAGAATTCGAGTGTGTAGGATGTAACTTACTTTGTGCATTTGTCCATCTTGGATTTATTTTGTGTGTCTGTTAAACTACTGCGTCACTATGGTCTACACCACTGCAAACCCCAGCTGCAAGTGAATCAGGCAAGGGTAGTTGGCTTTCAGGATTACATCCAAACATATTGTTACATTTTTTTATGAATTTGATACAAGCATCTGTGGGCAAAAGGAAAATAGAACTTGCGTAAAAGCATACATATGAAAGAGACCAGAATGGGTCACTTAAGGATTATAAGTATTAAAAAACAATAATCAACTTAAGTTATAATGATACTTTGTATATGGAGTTGGGCATGCACCAGTAAAAATAATTTTCGTTGTTTGACTAAATAGTCTGCACAACTCTTCCCTGTAAGACATTGCTGTTTCTCAATATTAACATGCTAATCCTTTATATTAAATTGTAATGACATAGCATCAGAGTTGGGGAGGAAAAAATAGCAGTGTGTCTTTTGTGGATTAAATAATGGCACTGCAAATTTAAATAACTAAATTTAAAATACTACAGTTCTTTATAACAGGACAAGGAATGACATTTTCCACTAAACTAGTCTGACTCTCTTGCTTTTATATAAAAGGAAATACTTTTTCTCTGGAATTAACATCCTAGATTAGCTTTCATCAGTTTTGGGTTTCTGTGGACTAATGCTGAATATGCCTACATAGGAATTATGAATGCGGGAAAAGAAGTCCCTGCTTTAGGAACAGCCCACATCTTTTTAAAGCTTAGTCATACACATGGAATAAAAAGATGTGCTACATCATCTTTCTTCCCTACTTTTTATTCAAAGTTAGATTCTAGGAGTGACTAGGGATATGCTTGATTTTCCCCAAATCTCATGTAAGCACTGTTTCCCCACAAGTTTGAAAAAAAAAAAAAAGCTGGGTAAGTTAGCTGTGATGTACTGCATCTCCAGAAATGAGAGAAAGGAAAAACAGAGGAAAAAGTCTTGTAAAGAGCTATATATTTACTAGGTGGAAGAGGGAGTTGCAGCTGGCAGCAGTCAAAAGCAAAATGACCATCTGAAGCCTGCAGCTGGCTTAAAATAAAATATCACAATTTTTCTATGGGCTTTTTCTCCTGCTACAGTTAGTACTGTCACTGCTGATGGTGCTTTTGCCTTTGCAGATTTAAAGGTTAGTGTTGTCATTGGCTTTTAAAAAAAGAACTTAAAATCCCAGTCTCTGGCCTTGGCAAGTAAAAAAGCTTTTCAGTTCATCTTCCAAACTTTTTCTTTGAATTGAGATGAGATGTGCATTCTGCATAATGGATGGAATTTCTAGTAATGGCTAAAAGGTAAGTGCTGTGGGTAGATCATGAGTGAAAGTAATCTGCTGTGTAAAAGCCGAGGCCTACAACATTATTGGATTTATCAACCTGATAGCTAAGTTTCATGAAATATAAAGTGTGACTTAATGGCTTGTTTAAATTACTAAACCACTGTAGAATATAAAATTTTGCCCAGCACTATTCTAATCCCCCCCTGACATTTCCTTGCATCGCCCCGTTGCATCGCTGTTTCCAGTGCCTTTCCCAGCATACAGCTGAGATTGGGGCAAGGTTGGTAGCTGTCTGGTAGATACTTAATCCCAAAAAGGAAGTGCAGTTTGGGAGATACTGCCCTCACCATCTCTTCTGGTTGTAACATTCTATGGAAGGTGTATGCCTGCCATTTGTTGGAATTCACAGTTGGAGATTGCTGTGAGATGACTGCTGTAGAAACAACCACAACAGGCTTTTTTCCATCTATGCTTCAGTAGATGATTGTGAGCACATTTTCCTGACTTTGCTGCTGGTAAACCATGCCTGTTTTTCAAGTAAAAAATAGGTGGCAATGTTGCGTTCTATATTGGACTGTGTATTAAACCCACCAAGAAGCTAGAAGTACAGAAAGCTGCATCCTTCTAAATAATGGCCTCTCTTGCTGGGAGCACATTGTACTTCTGGTCTCTGATCTATATTGTTTTCCTGCTGGGTTCCCTTCTTGTAAAAGCCATTATTGAAACAGGTTTGGGAGTCATTGCAGACAGTTCAATGAAAACCTCTGCTGGCTGTGTGATAACAACTGACAAAGAACACAAGTTCTTGGGGAGGGTAAAGGGGTAAGCAAAAGGAATGGGAAAAAATACTACTGAGAATGTTATGAGGCTGTGATATGAGATACAAGGCAACAGTACTCAATCAACTGGACTGCTGTGTGTAGTGACTGGAATTCAAGCTTAGTTGACTGAGCAGGATAATAGGGTTCAAGTATTATGTAAGGAGACAGAAGTATTTCTAGGCCTTCAGTTCCCCAAAATAAAGTATCAAATGGCTTGACAGGTTAGTTTAGAAAGGAGACCAAAAAAACCCAAAACTATGTGACAAAACAGTAGTGGTCCGGAGAAGGGAAATTAGGCTCTCCTATTTGCTCTCTCTGTAATACAAGCACAAGGGAAAGTCCATGAAACAGGAACAACAAAATTAAAGCTAGCAGGCATTTTTTATTATTTATTTTTTGCACAATGTCCTTTGAAGCTCCCACCAATTTTATTTTTTGAGACCAAAAGATTGGTAGGATTCAAGGAAGAATATATCGTTTACGTAGACCTAGAGATTGTCTAATTAATTTTTGAACTGATTATAAACAGTCATGTTTTGAGGCAGCTCAGCCATTAATTGTCAGGAGTCGGGAAGAAATTCCCTCTCTGTGCACCTTTTGGCATATATTGTATCCCATACAACATGCAACTGTAGGCCAGTCAGTCTCACCTCCATCCTAGGCAAAGTCTTTGAAAAAATTATCAAGGCTCACATTTGCGAGAGCCCGGCAGGAAAAATTATGCTGAGGGGAAACCAGCACGGGTTC